CTACAATATTTCCATTACATGCTGCTTTATTATACCAATAATAAGCTTTATCCTTATCTATTTCTGTTCCAATCCTATTATAATAACAATTTGCAAGTTGATGTTGTGCATCAGAAATTTCTTTCTTTGCTAATATATTATAATATTCAAAAGCTTTGGTTTCATCCTTTTTAACTGAATCACCTAACCTATAACAATTTGCCAAGTAGAGTCTTGCAGTCATATTACCATTATTAGTTGCTTTTTTATACCAATATATTGATTTTTCTTTATTTTGCTGTACTCCTAAACCAAAAGCATAGCAATATCCTAGATAAAATTGCCCAATAATACTCCCATTCTCTACTGATTTTTGATAATACTCAAAAGCTAATTTATAATTTTTTCCAGTACCATATCCTTCATAATAGCATTTAGCAAGATAAACTTGTGCAATTGAATAATTACCTTTTGCTGCTCTTAAAAATAATTCAAATGCTTTATAACTATCTTCAACTATATCAATATTGTGATAATAAAGCAATCCAAGAAACCATATATATTGCAGTTTATCTTGATTTTCGATGAGCCAATTTAAAAGAGTATTTATAGTTTGATTTAATCGCAATAATGGCTTTTTAATAATATCTTCAATTTGATCAAAAGTGTAGCCTTTATCATGTTTTTTAATTACATAATCGATAATATTATTCATTGTATTATTATATATTGATTCCAACGAATCCATCGAACTTCTTGATAAATTTGTAACTTGAAAGGATAGATTAATTTTTTTTTCAAATAGAAACGATTTTTGTTTTTGTAAACTTGAATTGTTTGTAAATTCAGATCCTATAATCTTAAATTGGTTGAATTCATCTAATAATATCAAATCATTATCATCTATAAATTTTTCACTTAATTTATCAGATTTAAGGTTGAATTCATTATTTATAAATGAAGTACTTCTTTTATTATAAACTTCAAAACTTATCCCAGTTACTATCTCATGTTTATTAAGTGAAACTAATTTTTTGAGCGATAAAACTACCTCATTTATATTTGGACGTTGTACTGGCTCATAACTCCAGCATTCTAATGATATGGATGAGTAAATTAAAAAATAAACAAATTTTACTAAATAATATTAAATATTACTTACTTTGATATAGATTACTGTATTCCAATGAAGTACCATCAATTATTTTCTCTCTTTTTCCACGTATGATACTTAAGGATAAACTAAAATCATAATCTAAACCATCAAATGGTAAACATCCACTTGAAATTTGCCACATCAAAACTCCAACACTATACACATCAGATTTTTTATTCAATATATAGCTCTTATTTTGATTATCTAAACATTTTGGATCCATGTAAGGTATTACGCCAAAATTATTTGCACTGTTTGAAGTTTCAGCAATTTTTCTTGATAAACCAAAGTCTGCTATCTTGATTCTTTTTTGATGTATAAGTATATTATTTGCATGCTGTTATTAAAAGAAAATTTTAAATAGCATTATTAAGTATAAAATAAATAAACATACTGTATATAAATAAATGTTACCAGATCGCGATGAATAATTTCACAATTATGCATACATTCTACAGCACTTGCAAGTTGCAATGCTAGCTGATATTTATCATTCCAATTAAGTTTCTCAAAATTTTGATTTAAATAATTATTTAATGTATCACCATCAGCATATTCTAAAACTAGCAAGTATGGATTCGTTTGATGAATTACATCTAAACAAAATCGTACAAATTAATATTAATGTTAAATTGCTGCATAAAAAAGTAGTATTATTTTAATTCTTACCAAATTCTATCTTTGCAATTCCGTAAAATCGTAAAATATTTGGATGAAAATCAACTTTTTTTTGTAATTTAATCTATAAATATAAAATAATTTAATATTTAATTTTAGAGTTACTTAATCGGATGTTCTAAAATCATTACATATATCAATACCTCATTGACAATCTCTTTAATGGTTAATTTATAATCGTCGAATGACTTCAAAGCAAAAATGGAATCCGTATCTTTCCAATTAGCACGAGAAACTTTTCCAAAATTACCACTTCCTATTGGTTGTATATTTTTGAAGTCCGAATATTCATAATATTTGAAATATTCGTCAGCAATTGATTTTTCTATCCAAGTAAGGTATTCATTTATATCGTTTGACATTTTTTTTTTTTTTTTTTTGTTTTTTTAAAAAAAAAAAGAAGTAACAAAGTAACTAAATTGTATATGATCGAGCTTATAACTAATAAAGTCTTGGCGATCGTCATGCAATTTTTTGTGTTACAGCTAATCTTTTTTTGAATTCACATCACATCATTCTCTCGATTAAAAAATCTCACTCACAGTACAAAAAAGGACGCTAAATGATAATTATATTAAATTATAATAGTAGGAATACATTCGTAAAGTTTAAAAGAGCGCAGTATTAGAGATTTTTTTTTTTTTTATATCCTAATTTCAAAAATCGGATCCGGATTTATATTAAATCCGAATCAATCTGGATGTATTATATCCGGATTTACTGTATATGAATTTCCTAATTAAGATCATTCTTAATCATTGTGCCATGTGTTTATATATGTTCATCAAAAATTACCGGGGATTTCCAAACCATTGCTTTTAATAATATCTATATTTCATATTCTTTATATTCTTTGAAAGAAAAATTATATCAATTTCATTGATAAGAATCGAGTATTACTTTTTACTTTATGTATTGGTTTGAAAATTAGAATGTCGAATTGTATAACTACTGCGACATTTACATTTTTATCATTTCTTGTTGGGGAAACCAAAAAAATAAAAAAAAAATATATTTTTTTTTTTTATTTAATACTACATAAAACAATTATTTAACCGCCCCAGATGTCGGTCAAAGACTTCTGACCGACCGTCTTTTGACCGACCAGTTGACCGACTATAACTGGTTAACCATTTTTTAATTGTAAAAGAACTCTGTGTATTTAAATTAACAAAATTAATAAAAAATAGACACCGACAACGTCCTCAACCAATTTCATGACTCATTCCACAACCTAGACCAAGACCACAACCATGAAATTTATCGGTACGGTATCTCCAATTCTAATCCTGCATGATACAATAACAATTTATTTTACCCTCATTTTCTTATATCTCGTTTATTAATAAATCCGGGATAATCAGAAAAAGCTATGGTGGGCGCTTCGCAGTAGAAAGAGAATAACAATTTGTTTTGACGGCAGCTTATACTGCAAAGCACTCATTCAGACTCAATAGGAGAAAATCGATAAATGATGGCCAATATACTAAAAATGCAATGGTAGCGGAACAGCGTAGTAATTATTGAAAGCAATATTGTGAGAGTGGATGGGAATTTATTTTTGTCGAATTAATTTTTTGTTTTTGTGAAAAAAAATGAAAAGATAGATATATTTATTTGGTTAAAAAAAACAATGTTGACGAATTTATAACCACTTGAATTTAGATATTTTTTCGTTTGTACATATCAAATCTCCCCCATTTATTCATAAACATTTTGCAACAATCATTTTTATTATATGACCTTTTTAAGTTGAAATCTTAGACTTTTAATAATTATTGTTTAGATTCAAGACAATAATTTAAATTAGCAGTTTAATATTTGTATCTGAATTATTAAACGATTGGAAAAGACATTGAACAACATTTTTTTTTTGTATCAGCAAATTAAGCTAATAATATCTTTTAAATTTTTTTTCCTTTAATAAATTATTTAACTTTATTAAAACGTTTATGAACAAAAATCGAGTGCATTTAACAATTAGTAACTTCAGCGAATACCTGTGAAGTTACGGTATAATTATACGGTTCAATTAATAATGTGGTGGGCGTTTAATTTGGTTAATAAATTATGTTAGTGATTCAAAGTTTTAAAAAATTATAAAATTTTTAGGAATAAAATCGTGAAAATAAAGTTATTATAGAGGTATTTAATTTTATCTTCATTCGATGGAGGATCGCGCGGCTTCATTTTAGTAAAATATGAAAGTATCTCCTCTTTATTAAAATTGTTTTTCGATTTTAACATTGAAGAGTGTATCGAGTTCATCAATGAGGGCTTTCATATTTTTTTTTAAAATTTTGATAGAAAATAAAAAAAATAAAATAAAAATAAAATACGATATTATTCACTTATCTTACATACTTTTGTGAAACTTTCATAAATCAACAATTAAAGATGCGTAACTATAAAGAGCAAGTCATATGATTGTACGCACGGCTGTTGATTGGGGTATATCTCTCCTAATTATCTTACATGTCGACATAATGATCCAATTTTGTTATAATAAAAATGTAATATACTGTAATTACGGAGCGTTATAAAAACATTCAGATAGTCCGAAACGTCAGAATACTTACAGTTAGACCACAAGCCGCCTCGAAAAATAATAACTGCACCTATCCTTTGGCTCCATTACTACTATACTACTACCACTTTTTTCACCAATTCTTTGATTTTATCTAACGAATTACTGTAGTCAAAGTTTTTGACGATTATAGAAGTTCGCCAATATTGCAGAGCTAAACCTAATTTCTTGAAATGTGTAGTGCTGTGGATTCCACCTATAAAGTTTAACTTCATTAGAATATTCTGAGTATTGACTGGTAGAAATTATAAAGATATATGAACAGAAGATAAGCGAGCTAAACATTCTGATGAATAATGCTTACCCATCGAAACTATAATGATCTATTATAAATCGTCAAGTATATAAAAATCTCATCAAAAATCAAAATTGAAACATAGGGGTTTCGACTTATATTATTTAATAAATGTATATTTTTAAAGAAATTTCAAAAAAATAATCTTTAACAACTGAAAAATAGAAGCTGACATTTTAATCGGTAGTAAAAAAAATTTAAAATAGTTTCAAGTATTCTGATAAAATTATTCAATAACATACTTTTTGACAATATTATTAAGAAAAGATCCATATTATCAACAGCAGTCCAAGTAATACAAAGGAATGACTCGCTTCTATCCATTTGTTATTTTGTCTGATTCTGACCCTTCAAATCAACGACGTTTGGGTATGTCACTATTCTATTTACCTGTGCTTAGTATTCATGGAGACATGTCATGTTAAAATCCATTAGTCATTATCAATCCACTGAATGCCTTTCTACCTCTTGCAGAGGTAGGAAGTGTAGAGAGTGAATGAATAAGGAATTTGCAGATTTATATATTTTGTACTTTGAAATTAAAATGATTATCTAATAAAAAAAGAAAAATTTCAAGCTTATAACGATAAGGCATGCAAATCGTATATATAGTGCATACGTAATGTAGGTAATAGATTAATAAAAATAATCTTTTTTTTCTAATTATATAATTTCGGGAATAATTCACAGGAGAATAAAAAATGAGTATAAAAAAAATTATTATCTTTTTCTTAAATCAACTTTTAAAACCTGCATGAATATTTTTTTTGTTTTCAATTTATGAGTGTAAATTACGTTGTAAAATAAATAAATCCATCAATAAAAAAAAAGAGCAGTGATTTAAGACAATAAAAAGATAAAAATATAAAATTACGGAAAAAGACACCAAATAAATCCTTAATTATAACATTAAAATGTCATAATGTCGTCATAGCACTTCCTGCAATGTAGCAGGAGGCGTCTAACGTCAGTTATTAAATTTCAAATCACTTTATACGTATAGATGTATAATAATGTGAATTTTTTGAATAAAAAATATAATTTTAACATAAATAACTTCAAAATTTTAGAATAAGTCGAATTAAAATAGTAGGCTCCGCCAAAATATTCTTCATGTCATAAAAAAGCATCATAAATTAATTTATTTATTATTAACTTAATAAATTTATCGGCTGATTTTAACGGGAAAAATACCATAAAAGTGTAAAACAATAAAAAATTGGTTTCATGGATGTTACACAAATTGTTGTTTTTAAATATTTTTCTTTATTATATTAATTGATTTGAAATCATGATTTGTGCTTTTAGCATGGCATGGCAACTTTTTTAAACTTTACTAATCTCGTAAAATCACAAATTCCTCTCCTGTCTTTATTATGTATGTCATTAATAATATCTAATGTCCTCTGAAGGACTTTAAATCTATAGACGGATACGAATGATAATACATCAAATAAAAACCAGTAGATGAAATCAAATTGTTACTACTTAAATATCCACATTTAGGAACGAATTTTTACTTCATTTAATATTGGAGCTCGAAATAAAGCACTTAAGTTGTAATTTAGTTCATCTTCTATTATTATATTTATCCATCTTTTTTAATTTAAAACCTTTAAACAGTCGTTCTTCAGCTTAATCGGTCATTTACAAATATACTTTGTTATCTATTGTTACTAGACCTTAATTGTCGTATTTGTGATGATATTTAGATAGAAAATTTGTATATAAGGGCTTCAATTCTGCTCTTGTATTTAGAATAAAGGAAATTGATTTCTTCTTAAAGAGAGTCGATTGAAGTAGCAATATTTGGTTTCATCGTCCTTGATTCTGTAAAAGTATTTTTCATTACAAAATTGAATAATGTATGGAATTTCTTGAAGAGCTTTCCTATGACTTTATCCAGTGGAATTTTTCTATTAATTTTGGTCCACAAGCGTCAAAGACAAATATGCTTTTTTAGAAAATTAATTCAAAAGCAAACATTTATTCAAATCGATCCGAACCAACTCACCTCGCTCTACCAGATAAAAAGGATGAAATAGCTACGAATTCAACCTATATTTATAGGGTTATAAATCCGTAGAAGGTTCGGTCATCATTAAAAATCGTTTTCAAAATCCATCGTTGGAAAAATCGGAAAAATCGGAAAGATCAAATTAGAAATCGATTGTCCCGAATGTGATGAAAGTTTGACAATCTTTATGAATTCATAAACACTACGAAATAGTCATGCACTCAAGCGTTACTTGAGTATTCGGAGCTTTATCCAGTTGATAAGTAAAGCATATGTGGACGATTTCGAAAGGTGTGAATCTACAATCAAAGGTTCAAATATCATATGCGTATATATACACCGCATTACAAACACTGAAGATGAACTACTTCTTCGAGTATATATAAGAAATTATCGTCGCACGCAAACAGGGTCTGATTGTTTTATTCTTATGTGCGACAATATTTCTTTAACTGTCATCACTCACGCAAAATTTCATAAATTCCGTCATACTTGAAAATACATTTATTTCTTATTTCGTCTCTTCATTTTCTTATTAATAGTCGATTTAGTTAAATTCATGCAGGATAATATTTAGTAATGGTTATATTATTGATAACCTCAAATGTCGAAGAAAGTTTTGATCATAAATTAAATAAAATAATATTTTTTTTTTGATGATTGCATAATTTATTAAACTAATAAGATTTAAGATTCTAGTTCTACCTAAACAGTTTGTAAATGTTTATGGAAAAAAAAATTCTGAAACTTGAAGGAGGGACGATTTGTTTATTATTTATCTCATAATAAATCGATAAAACGATGTTACATTATTTTTGCATTTGGGCTACAACAGATCCTTTAACAATTTATTTTAAAAAACAGTACATTTGATAACCGACAGTAAATAGCTAGCTCCTCTAATTATCATTTATTAGTGAAGGCGACTTCACCATTTTACAAGATAATTGTCTTCCTTCAGAAATACCTTTATTAAAAAGTAAACATCGTAAAAATTTTATAACATTCCATTTATTATTAATATAATTAACAAAGATAAAAAAGTTTTTAGAAGAAACAGATTATGAATTATATCATTTAGCAAATAAATAAATATATTTATTATTGTTATCAACGCTTTGTATCATGATTTATCGATAAAAGAAATTTTTCGATTCTCTATTGTTGGCTCCTGAAAAATATTCTAATTATTTTACAAATTGGTAAGAAAAAAAGAACGCAGAACATTAAAATAATAATATAACTTCGTTAAAAAATGAATTTGTATATAACAATTAAATTATAATAATATTTCATTTGAATTTAATAGACAGATCGATAGTCAAGGATAGGTCATTGACGGAGAAAGTAATGAATGGTAGCAATTTTAATACTAAGAATCACAATTATTAGTTAATAATAGTCCGTGCATTTTAAATTTAATGTAATAATATCATTTTAAGCAGCTGTATTTGTAATGATTGAATGATTTTTCGATAGTCTGCAACGACAATGAAAAAATAATCATTCACTCAGTTATTCTTGCACTCCATTCAGGTTTATGTAAGCTCATATTGCGGCACTATAAAAGTAAATAATGAAACGAAAACATTTTGCAAAAATAATATTTATTAGTGCCCAAAAATTACATCTATTATTTTCTCAATTCGCATCATAAATATCTGTAGAGTTTCTCCATTTCTAGCACGCAATAATAATAATCTATTAAAGTTAAATTAAGTTTTTTAAAAATGATGTATAAAAGATCCAATTTTCAGCTCAAGGTCTTACATCAAAAAAAATCACTATTATAAATGACATTGTATAAGTTTGTATAATACTATACTGCTTGCGAGTCATATTGTATTTAATATTCTCATAATTCATTAAGCACATCATCTCTAAACTTTTGTTTTATGGATTCATGAAAAAATCGTAAAAACGAAAATCAAGTTGGCGAACTGGAATAAGAATTGTCAAAATACATTTCTGATGACAAATGATAATTCGGCAACAGAAGAAGCCAACCATGTTCACCTTTGGCTTAAGACATTATGTCTATCTCAAGATGAGGAAAAGTTTCCAATAAATTTTAATTCTCATGAGTTTTTAGTCGTGATGATCGAGATTCTTTTAACACTCAATTCGAGAGGTTATTGGATCAATACCTTCTATGTCTTTAAAGAGGTTACATAAGAATAATTTAAAGAATATTAAGAAAGTAAAAAGGTACATTCAGATCTCTCTATATGCACATCTTCAAAAGCATATATTTTCTCTATATATGCACGATCAAATATATAGGAGAAAGTTCTCTTTAAATGCGCACCTCTTTAAATGCACAATTTTTATAGGTCTGATCTCAAACATCTCATTCAAATCTAGAAATGTCATTACTGACATTTCTTTTATCCTATTTAAATTTTCTAACGAAAATAATGAGAAAAAATATAATTAACAATGGAAGTTTGTAAATAGTGTTGCTATTAGATAGGGCTCTAAATATACTGTATGAACTGTTTTCAATTACTAGTTCGGCAGATATTGATTATAATAATGTTATGCCACTCGTCTAGATTTCTTGCCAAAAGACCAAACTCAACAAACATTAGGAGGCACAAAGTTAGTCTTAGTAAGCTGAAAGAATTAGAAAATGGGTCATGGTTGTTGGCAAATGACCTCAGATTACACGCAGTAGAAAGGAAGGAAACTACCAAAATAATAAATTATTACTTACAGTTATGACAAATATTGGCAATTGCGGTAAGTAGGTTTAATTTAATTAATTTAATTTTTTTTTGATTTATTAATTTATTTATTTAATTTAATTTTTTTTTTAAAAAATTTCTTTAAACATATATTAGCTTTGCCCCCGAAAAATCCTAGCTCAAATTGGCGTTTTAATTCTACTTTAGCATTATTTGTTTAATTTATAATTCACATTATAATTTTGTTTGTTTTAAGTTGCCGGGCAAAACCAGAGGTTTCGACAGGCATCGAAATCAAAACCGTCGAAACCTATCGAAATCGAAGTTTTCGACTTTTGCCAAAATGGGATTTGAGTTTAGACCTGCAACCTTATTATATTAATATGTATAATATTTATTCTATTAGCTAAATAAATATCTATTAATAATAAATTTAATCACAAATATTAGTTTTTGCCGCAAAAAAAAAAACATTTCAATATTTTAACATACTTTTAATATTACTAGTTTATATGAATGTTGTTCTTAGTTTCGTTAATCAACAAAAATTTTATATTGTATTTTTTTCCGATCGATAGAGACTAGTCAACGGGGACCGTTGTGCGTCCGAAGCGAGCGTCACGCTGTCACATTCCAATTTTTTCGAGCTTAACATTTTTATTAGTTTAGTGTTACATTTACATTTAATTTAGTATAGTGTTACATTTAATGGTTTCGTTATTTTAATCATTATTTATAGGTGGCTTACTTTAATGCTACGAACTAACCCTAATTCCACGCAACTTATCGGAAATGTTTCGCAGCCGTAGGCTGCGTGGCCTGCGGCCGGCTTTCATAACAAACCTTTCCTTCCGAACTTCCTAACACTAATCCTAAACCTAACCTAATGAACCTAATGCCACAATGCCACATCCTAACTCTATGTCACGTCCTAACCCTAATGCTAATGCTACTCCTTAACCCAAATGCCATAGTGTAATATCTATTAGACCGACCAACATTTTTTGCTCTATGCTCCGATTATAATAGTCCCGGTTACACTAATCACGTATGTAACATCTATAGTGACCGACCAACATTTCGACCTTTTGCACAGAACGAAAACGTCCTCCGCTTTCGCTTCGGACATTTATAAAATATAAATTTCAAATAAAAATTTTATTGTGTATATAATTAATTTTGTATTTTAAAAAGGGAATTTATGAAAATTACGGGTGTTCAGATACTATGCACCGCTTGTTTTCATAAAGATGTAACTTATTATTATAAACTTATTTCCATTTCGAAAATTTTAATTAAATATCAACATCAACACATAATATATTTTCCACAACCAAGTTCTAATCGAAATCCGAATTGTTTTGAAGAGCACTAATTAAAAAAGTCATATATTGTAACAACTTCAAGTGAATTAAAATATATGTACAAAATTAAATTAATGTTATATTGCTTAGCCAAATTACTGCTAAATTAATGTAAGTTGCGTAATTTTAAGTTTAGATATCAGCTCCAACATACCTACATAATATCACATGATCAACAATCCAATATTCGTAAGATATTTTTTTTTTTAATCTTATTGTAGGCTGGTATCTTAAAACTTTTGAATTTACATTCCTAAAAGATGGATAGTCTTGATTTTTCTAAAAATTGTTGTTCAAAATCAAATCAGAGTTTCTTCCCCGTCTAAAAAAAAAAAGTCAAATATATATCATAACTTTTACAATTTACCAAGTTTAACTTTATTAGAATGCTTTGTTATTGTGAAGCAATGGTATAATGACTGATGCAGTTCTCCAGGTAATGAATTGACTACTGTCCGATCATTTCTGAAAAAAAAATAATTTATCATATTAAAATTGGTAAAATGTAATATTCAAGAATTACAAGAGGCTCTAAACAAAAGTAATGCAGTAGTGGCACAAAATAAAAATATTGATAAGTCTTCAAAGGCGATTAGTCTATATGTAAAGATGACGATATTGATATGCCTTATAGATAAATAGTTATAAATTTCAAGTAGGCCATTTGTAATAAAGTATAAAGGCGGCTGTTAACTAGAGCATACATCGAAATAAATAGTGAACTAATTCCTTTAATAAATTTGAATTCAATCTAAGAGTTTTTTCAAGGTAAATATTTGGGGTTCGCTATTAAAATCAAGTTACGAACATAGTAAATCATATGATCCTAACGTGATATTAGTAGCAAACCTCTCATTTGATCATAAAAAAAATTGCATTCAGTATAATGACGCTACGTTAGTTATTAGATTATATCCATTTGACTCGTATATAAAACGGCCTGAAATGGCTTTGTTAGGATTTTACGTAACAACGACCATTTTAGATACAATTTTAACAACCATTTAGACTTTATAAATATCCTTTTTGTGCAAGTTCCGCAAGCTTACTTAAAACGTTAGAAGTTCTAATATCATGAAAAAGTCTATAAGGTAG